CCCCAAAACCCCAAAACCCCAAAACCCCAAAACCCCAGAGCTAAATTTTAAATAGAATAAAATAATATTTAAACTATGCTTTACTTTATTGTCGCGTGATCTATCATTATTGTGTCCTGATTATGCAAAACATGATCAACCCAAGATCAAATGAATGGAGTTCCATTTATGAAGACTCTCAGCTCATATACAGCATCTTACAATGTTATTTCTGAGGTAGGTCTCTGTTTAAAAAGCCTAAATTTTATTATCCATAGGCAGTGACTCATCCGACAGAAGAGATTCTGTATTTTGGGACCCAATTTTCACATACCCCAACAGGCACTTCTGGAGGTATTCTGAAAACAGATTTTAGCTTGAATGTACTTCAAATGATGAAGGGATATACTATTGATCCTGTAGATGAGGATTTCTGTATTTCATCTAATGGAAAATATCTTTATTACTCAAGCCAACAAACATCAGCATATTTTTTGGAAATTAATTCTACAGACCTCAATATTCTAAACGTCACAACTATTTCTTCGCTAGCATTTAACATGGATTCTGGAATTGACTGCTCTGGAAGTAAAATCTATCTGACTGGAGTTCATTCTCCAAGTGGTGTGCATTATCTATGTAGTTTTATCCGATTAGACTCAGACGTATCGTGCTTTCATTATGGAGCCACACAAAAGATGAATTATGCTATTATCAGCGAAAGCCAAGCCTTTTTGGCAACAATGAAGCCAAGTTCGAATAATTTGTACTTTTTCTCAGTAAATTTCTCTGGTAACGGAAGATACGATTGGAGTAAATATGTATCTTGCTCCTCTATCTGTAATACAAAGAGAGGACAATCTATAGTGAATGGTAACTACATTTATACCGTCAACTTATTTGCTGGCCAGACAATGTACCACACTTTGGATGTTACAACAGGGAATGCAGTCTGTCCAGGGTTGATCTCCTCTTCTGATCCAAACTTTGTGATAGACATAGATGAAATTGGAGGATGTGATGTTCACATCATTCATACAGATAGGGATTAATTTCATAAACATATTAGTGCATCCTCTAAATTGAACTGTCTACAAGGAGTACATCAACAGCGCAACTAATCTCTACTCGATTACCCCCATCTCTGTTGGTGGGTACGAATACGGTATCTTTAGTTTAGATTTTTCGACTCAGTATAAGATAATTCGTGGTCGCATATTTGATCTAGACAGATTCTCAGTATTAAACAGCCAAACTACTACTTTTCTGCCAATTACCACAAGTTTTGTTGTAAGTGACTCTGGTGTTATTTCTGCTCTGACAAAGACTTCTCTCTCAATAAATCAAGAACTGATCAACAATGCAGCAACAGGTAAGATAAAATAGTGTTGTTAATTCTTGTAGTCCAATCTGCTGACATTGCTATCAATTCAGGTGGAGCTAGTAATATTATTCTTCATTCTGCTCTTTGGAATGATGATTTCAGCAACTCTTATTTGCCAAATTCTCATACCAATGTCACTTTTATTTGGGCGTGTTCCCACCCATCCAATTTCGTGACTATTTCGTTTGGATTGCAGTCTTTAGATGGAGAGATAGTTCCAAATTGGGTATATCTTGATGCAACTAATGAAATCCTAACTCTCAACAGAACTCCTTCGGTATTTCAAGACACTGTGTATAAGTTTGCGCTCTCAATTGATGATGGAACCATTTCGACACAAAAGAAGTTTTATATCACTGTCAAACAGTGAGCAGTCTCAAATTGCAAGACTTGACAAACTGACGATCCTGATAAGTGCAATAAATGTGACACTGGATATTCACTCAGCAACAGCAATACCCAATGTTCCAAAGCTGATGCATCTTCTGAAGCTATAATGGCTCAATCTGTGATAGGAGTAGGAATTGCAGTGGCCATTGCATCTGCAGCAGCATCGATGTCTTCACCCGTAGGCATGTTCAGCTTGATCAACCAGTTTCAGATGTACCTGCTGCTACCACTTGTACCTCCATACTTCCCAGCAAAAGTAGCTCAGTTCATTCTGGGAGTTGACTTCTCATTTGTGTCGCTGGACTTCATTCCAGTGGAGAAGATTCCTCTAGTTAAGGAGATCAAAGAAGCTGTTGATTATCCTCAAGAAGACAGTTACCTGGATGATATTGGTCTGACATCGAGCAGTTCAATTGTGAACTATCTTCCAATGGTCTGCTTCATTCTTGTAATGAGCCTGTTTCATTTAACTTTAAGCCTCATCTATGTCTGATGTAAGCATCCATTTAAGCACAGAGTAGGCCAAAAAATTGTGATGTTTATGTTTGTATATATGACATTTGGTTTTTATATCAGGCTGATTATGGAAAACTTTTTGTTTCAAATGGTTTCTATTCTTTTTGAACTCAGAGCTTTCAAATATGATACCACAGTGTCGCTAGTGTCACTCATTCTTTGTATCTTCTTCACGATATGAATTACAGTGTTTATTATAATGATAGCTTTGTCATTCATTGCTGGTTGGTAAGTCAAGTAATCCTTAAAGTTTAGGAAAAATCCTAGCTCTGAGTTTCACAATCACTGGACGACAAAAGAGTTGTATTCTGGAATCAAAATCAATAGATGTTCCAAAGCCAACTCAATAGCGTTTATCGGAGTGAGATTCATTTCAATTTTATTGCTTGTGCTGATGGATGGGACTGCAAAGAGTGACAAAGACAACCAAGCAGATAATGTTACTGCTGTGTATTATATCAAGTGAGTGTTCTTGTTATTGATCCATGTGCTACCCTGATTGTTCTTGTTTATCATAAGGCCTTATGACAGTGTGACCAACAATGTTATTGAGTTTATTCATCAACTAAACTACACTGTAGCCATTGCACCTTTGTTATTTCTAAAATTCGAATCAGACTGGTCTACAATGAAAGAAGACATGTATATTCAAGTGTTATTGGCAGGTCCGATGTTTGGAGTACTGATCAACTTGGGTACCCTGATCTTGATAATGTGCAAAAAGTTGATAAAGGAGAAATCTAATAATAAGATAAATATCAAGAAAATCTTAAAGGCATCAACATCGAATCAAAAAGTAAATTTTTACATTCTCTATCATTCTTACTCTTCTGAACATTTCTAGGAAAGCAACGCATCTCAAAATTCCAAATTAGGCCTAAAAGAAGAATCAAAGAACTCCAACATTCACCCCAGACATAACATCTATTAACCACAATTCTCAACCACTACCCTCTCTTCCGGGGTTTTGGGGTTTTGGGGTTTTGGGG